GGAGGTGGGAAACCAGAGGAGAATTAATGCTTGTGGCAAGTCAGACTGCTGTATTTGGCTTGTTGTCGGTCCCCCGGGATTTGGCAAAGGGATCCCTCAATTCAAAAGAAATAGAAAAGCTGTCCCAGAACTGCCAGGATTAGGGAATTTTGCCTGTCTGTACTCCACATTCAGCACTGCTGAACATCCCCATCACTGTCATTAGCACTAACCCCTGCACTGACAGACTGGGCAGGTCTCATGTATTGAGTGTGGGCCTTCCTTCCCTGGCCCCCTCCCTCTGGCACAGCAGTGACACAGTACCTGCACATTTCTCCTGCCTTGGGAAGTTTTTACCTGTCTGACCTGCTGGTCACTTATGTGTGACTTCTTGGAGCTGGAGGGAAGCACCAATGATTTGCCACAATGGTGGGAAACCCCCCAAACCAGAACCTACCTCGGTGGTGCAACTCCTTGTGCTCTGGATCTCTCCATGGTGGGATCCAGCACACACAGAGTCATCTAGTTTTCCCTGCTCTGTTCTGCTGCAAGCAAGTTGCATGTCATCCCAGAAACTGCCTGTGAGATCATCTATGAAATATTTATTCCCGTTGCATGCAAGAGAAAAGGAAGCAAAAAGCCTGCATAATATTGATGGAATCCCTGATAGCCAAATATTGAATTATTTACAGCCTAATTGTGCAAGTGATACTCAGGAGATCGCTTAGGCTGCAAGATGCAATTAATACATTTTGTGAAATTGGTGACTTCTACTTCAGACTTTTGGATGCATCACTGAGTCCCTAAAACACAAGTGACATGACTTTGCAGGAAAAGAACACCTGAAATACCCACAGGCTTTTCTCTGAGCACTGCTGTGAAATAGGAAAGGGCTCTCAAAGCACCTGTGAGCTGCCTGAAGGCACACGTCTGGAGCTGATTCAGATGCTCAGGTGAATCTGGCTTGGCTCATGGCTGTTGCTTCAGAAGGGCACTGATCTCCCATAATTCTTGTGTTACAGCTGAAACTCCCAGGCAAATGCCCTGGATACTCTCAGATGGCATTAAATACATATATGAAAGACACAAAATTTAGCCTATGTGACCACTGTCCCCAGCAGACCTTCCAATGCAGACAGCAGTGACTAAGAATGGCAACACTCTCTGTGCTGCAGCATCCTTCCCCTCCTTTTTACTGTCATATTTGCTGCATAGCTCTAATGCAGTCCTTAGTGCATGCACTGATTCCTCCTTTCTGCCCAGCCTACAGCAGATAGACTGGCCACTGAACCCCAGCTCACAGAAGGTGGATTTCCAGGCACAGAGCTCCTCTGTCCATTCCAAGGAACACAGGTGGTCACAGGGCTTTGGCTATTTCTCCAACACCAAACTTCTCTCAAGCCCTCCCTCACCCTCCTTAGGAAATAAGTATCTGAACCCTGACATCTGGAGTAAACCACAAGTTGTGTCTCTCAAAACTCTCTGATCTTCTGTATTCCGCTTTATATTCTACTCTTAGCAGAGCTTTGGGGGATAGCCTCCTTACCAAGCGCTTCAGCAGCATTTAGGACCATCCCTTGAAATCACTGGAGCTGAATAAGGCTCTGGGCAGTCTGTTTTGCCCTGAGGACGGTAACAAGCCCAAAGAAAGTCTGAACTAGCATTACAGTGCTGTCCTCTCCGTGCTTAATAATGCTCATTTCCTCTTGAGACGAGACACACCATGTATGTCTAAAGCCCTCAGCCTGTCCTAATTTGCAAACTCTAGTACAGCTGTAGGTTAAAAGAGCCAGCCAAAATTAATCATGACAGATTAAGGGACTGAGCAACATACGGCAATGGCCTCTTGTTAAACTGAAACATCTGATCCAAACCAAGCAATTTCAGCCCCCCTGTTAAACTCTTGCTTCTCTTGTCCACCATCTACAGTGTTTTGCTGCTGAGCACCATCATCTGAACGTGGTTTACTCAGATGTACCCAGGCTATCACTGAGCAGCTTTGGCAGTGACAGCACTGGGCTGGGCTGAGACAGACAAAAAAGCAGGTTTGTAGGTGGCTGCCACCTGCAGGCCTGCTCAGGTGTGTGTGTGGGGGTGTTGTTTTTGCTGTTATTGGGCTTTTGTGCCATTTAGAGTCGGCAGGCAGAGGAATAATTAAACTCTGCTCATGCCAGAGGAAAATTTATTTATTTTAAGCAGGTACATTTTCTTCTCTTCTTTTCCACTCCCCTTTTCCTTAAACACGAGACAAAGGTAGCCAGACAAGCAGATGGACTTTGCTTACACAATAAATGTCATGCACCTCAAAAGCTGGTAAAAACCCAAGCTAGTGACTCCTTTATAGGCAGAAGGCCCTGAGGGAGGAAACAGCAACATGATTTACCTGAAGGCAGTGGTACAGCTGTGATGTGATTCCAGACTGAGGTGGTGATGACACCTTTGCAAAGCCAAAACTTATGTAGCTTAGTATTTTGTTGTTGTTGTTCTACAAATATTATTCAATGTCTAAAATGGAAAAAGGAGGTTATTTGGTTATTAAATGCCAATAAATCTGCAAGGTTTTAGCCCTCTTCTCTTTTCATAGAATCATAGAATCAGATCGGTTGGAAAGGACCTCTGAGATCATCGAGTCCAACCCTTGATCCACTACCACCACAGTTACTAGACTATGGCACTAAGTGCCCCATCCAGTCTCTTCTTAAATACCTCCAGGGACAGAGAATCCACCACCTCCCTGGGCAGCCCATTCCAATGCCTGATTTTCATTTTGTTTGAAAGTGTATCCTGAAAACAAGGCAAGGCCATGGCCAGCTCCACCTTGTCATTTCCTGTTTAACAGAAGAGGAACAAGATTGCTCTGAGACAAGGGAATGCAGACTTACCCAGGGGCTGAAGATGACATTAGCTCACTTGGACCATCAGGTCCTTGGAAATGAGCCCCATGTGCACTCTCACAGGATCCTTCTCCAGACTCTGACTACAGCAAAAATGTTGCTATTCACTGGATGCTCCATAGAAAAATAGAAGTTACCCACCAGCACAGTTGGTGCTCTCTGTAGTATAAATGCCACCAGTGTCTCACCACCAGGTCTCGAGGTGCTGTGCACAGCAGATAAGGTGCTCTTGGATTCCTAACAGCCCTGAACATGAAAGGGTGCATTAGGTGGCAGTAGGCTTTGTATACCTTGCTATTTTCAGCTCCCTAGGACTGTGAGAGATGCAATCCCTGTTGGAAAACACTCCCCATTATAAACAAGCTGATGAACACAGAAGAAAATGAGCATGCCTTCCCTGTTTGCTGCTATTCCATATTCAGCTGTTAATCTGCCCCTTTCTCCTTCTCCTCTCCTGTTATTCTGCAATAGCTGTTAGTTGCTAAAGAAAATGAAGAAACAATTAAGAAGCTTCAGAAAAAGCAGATAATTTCTCACACGCGGGGCTGAGTACGCAGCAGATGTGACTCAAGAGACACACATGCTGTTTTCAGGCAAGTATTCCCAAGGGTTTAGATAAAAATAATAAGGATGAGGGGTTTCAGCAGAAATCAAGTTATTTTTAAGTGGAAGTGCTCTAGGGCAGTATTAAAAGGGCTCCCTGAAAATGCCACCACCTTCTTGTGTGTGGGATTCCATAGCATTAATTGTGTATAATTAAAACCATTAAGCCAGCAGTCAGGCTAGACAGGGATTCTGACAGGAAAGTTGTTAGAGGGGTTACAGCAAAACGCGTTGGTTGCAAAGATCAGACTTCTGATTTACTGGAGGTTTTCACAGCAGAACAACTGAGATGCCTACAGAGAGATCTTCCTCCAGAAGACAGTGGCAAGTCTCAAGGACCAGAATTTGAACCAGGTGGTTTCAGTCGCCACAGTTCAGCCAACACTGGGAGAAATGCTGCAATGGTTGGGAGCCACATCTTGACTGACACAGCATGCTGCAGCTTTACTGAAGTGTATGGTCCACATCCAACCTAGGAGTCCATGAGAGACACATATTTCAAATATCCCTCTCCTTAATCCCCCCTCAGCATCTGTCATCACACAAATTGGGACAGAGGTAGCGGAGCCAGCATTACAGTAAGAGGCTTGCTGAGCCAGCTGCAGGCATTTGCTGTCTTCTGGCTGTGATCAAGACTGGACAAATTAGGAAAAGTGTCCATTAGCCTCATTCACCTGAAAAATGCCAACTCACATTTTAAAAACTGGCCTGGCAAAGGGTCAAGAAAAGAAATCTGGTGGCAAATAGACAAGTCTGTGATGATCCACCATCTTGAATGGATCTTCAGTATCCAATACCAGGATTTTCTGTGCTCAGACACATAAATCTCAGGCATTCATACTCTGCCAATATTTTAAGTCATGCCCACAAAGTGTATTTGAATAGGATTCAAGCTGATGAAAAGCAAGTTGCTACTTTTAAAGAGGCTTGGTGACCATGTGAATGCAGCTGATGGCTTCAATCCAGCAGATGACATTCCATTAAATTAAAGACAAATTTGCCACCACAATTCTTAGTGCCAGGAAAGGTGTGAAAGAACACGTGGTCCCTCCAGGATGTGCACAGCCATATTTCTGGTGCCACAGATGGCAGTTTGAATGGCTGCAGGTTTTTTGCCTTGCCTTTTCATAAGGCATACTTGGCCTTTGTGGTTTTCAGGGAGACATTTTAGAGATAGTAAGCTTATGAAGAGACACATCCCACTTGAATCATTTTCAAAACACCTCTTCCTTTCAAGTCACCAACTCTCAGAGAAGGATGGAGAAGAAGAAACGTTGAGCCAAAGCCCATAAGCAGATTTTTTTTCCTCTGTGTGTGAGATGAGCCTGGGAAAATCAAAACAATTCATCTACCCAAGCATGGCTTTGCAGGGAAAGGTTAAGGAATAATAAACAGGGATTTAGATTGCACCAGTTTACATGCATTTATGAGGGAGAAATTCAACACCCAGATAACAAATTCAGTTCAGGTTTTACTTCCTCTCTCCCTTTCTGCCCCCCCCTCCACCTTAAAGATGACATACCCTTCCATTTGTAAATTACTTTAATTTAAATACTTCCAGGTTAACAAAACACCTTAAGTTTGACATGTCCCAAGTTACAAAACAGAAACAAAACCTCTTGACAAAGGGTAAGAAAAAAAAATATAATCCGAGCCCAAACCTCCTTTCCTAAGCTGGAGTTTATGGTCTGTGAGCTGGCAGCCCTCCAGAGTCTGACACAATGTCTGGAGCACCCAGAGCAGCTGGAATTAATTTTCTTCCTCCAAATCTATGCACTTTCATATTGAAGTCGTGTTTTGGCACTGCCGCCCAAGAGAGAGTTCAGTGCAAAAAGTCTAACCCTGGCCATTGTTTCTTTGCAACCCAACACTCACTGAGCAAAAAACGAGAAAGAAGAGGACAAAAAAAATTAGAGAAAGAAAAGCCCTTTCCCTTCCCCCACACATACACAGATGACTGTACCAAACAGGGGGGCTATTCATGGCTGTTCAGAAATGGGTCACAAGGAGAAATGTTTTGCAGATAAAACCAACACTTTTTTTTTCCTTTTTCCTTTTTGTTTTTCTTCTTCCTTTTTTTTTTTTTTTTTTTTTTTTCATAAACATCATGGAGGCCCCTGGAAGGCTCTGGGGATGTTTGAGAGTCGAGGCCCTGCCGATCCCTTCCGCCTCCCGTTCGTGCAGCTCCCATGCTGGCCCTGAGGCGCAGCCCCCTCGGGGGGATGTCCAGACCCTTCGAGCCGCCTCCTCCAAGTCAGAGCCGCCGCAGGGACCCCAAGGGGGTGATGGGGCCGCGCTGGCACCACACTGCTGCTCCTCGCCTGGGCTGGCGGTGAGTCAAGGGGGGAGGAGGGAGGTGTCCAAGGCACTCCCAGGGTGTCCCATCACAAAATCGCACACTGGAGTTTGTGGGAGCCCGTGGCTCTGTCCCCTCGCCATTTGGTCTTTTTCTTCTTCTTCTGGCTTTTCTCTGGGATCTGTTGCCTGTTTGGGGAGACAGGGAGGAAAATAAGCAGGTGGGACATAAGGGTAGCCTGCAGAACAGCACCTTGGTGCACATATGGATATTTGTGCATATATCTCTATATACCCTTTCACCACTGCATGGCTTTTCATGCCACACAGTTGACAACTCCCTGCATCCTTAAGGAAAGGAGGAAAGCGCCGTAAGCAAAACTGAAGGCTAGTGGCAGGGATGTGTGTCCTGCCAGGGCAATATGCCTCCAGTTGCCCTGGGTGAACTGCTGCCTCCTCCCCTGCTCTGGGAAACAGGGATGCTCTAAGCAATGCAACGTCACCCATCACACTGCTGCTAATGCTCAGTAGTCAGAGAGATATGAGAGAGATGCAGAGAAAGAACATTTTTGGAAAGATGTTCCTTCAGCTGTCATTGCCCTTGGCCAGATGTACTGCTGAGGACTTGGTTATGGAGAGGGGTTAAAAATAATAAAGAAAAAAAAAGAGTTTGCTGCCGATGGGGCTCTGGTCTCCCCTGGAAGTTGCAAAGAGCACCTCAGCACAGAGAATGAGCTGACCCCAGAAAGATGTCCTGGCTGTCTGAAGTCACAGTCATCAGAAACATGCAGCTGAGAGCCCTCCTGCACTACAGCCTGTTTGCAACTGTGCCTGATTGCAGCAGCCACTCAGCCAGCCCAGCAGTGCAAATTCCACAGAACTGTTTGTGGCTCAAACACCTGATATGCAGCCTGTAGACTGAGATTTTATTGCAAGATAAAACACACAAACACTAGCAGCTTCCGTAGACTCAAACCCGAGAGTCTGAATAGTTCAAACTCAGCCTGATTGTGATGTAATATGGCAGGTATTAAACCCAGTGTTCATACCAAGTTATCCAGACCAGGATGAGACATAGCTGGGGCACAAATCACTATGGCTTTAGCTGGTGTTTTTCTTACAGCCTCAGATTCCAAGTCCTTGCAACCATCTGAAGAAGTCAGCTTTGGCTAATAAGATTTTTTTTATTCCAGTGAACATGAAGGCTGGAGGCATGAGAAACCTAACACTTTAAAGCTCAAAACTAGAAAGATGAAATTTAAAAAATTCTTCAAAGTGAATGTGGATTAACACTAAGTGACCACAAGCTGTTCACACTGTTGTGGATCTGTTTCAGAGATCCAGAAAACCACATCCTGTGCCCACTCAAGATTTCTGCTGTGACAGTCCCTGTGTATGCCCTGCATTAAAGAGGCATCAGGAAATTGAAAAGATCTATTGGGTGGACTCAATCACCCCATTCCTCTCTGGATTACTTCCAGACAAAAGTTTCTTGCATGAAGCTAAATAAAGCAAGCCAAGTACAAAGAGCACAAACAGTGCCAGCCTTGAATGAGCATCCTCACCCTGAGAACTCAGAGGACCTCTGAGGAGGCCTTTCATTTCCAAAGCACTCCAGGAACAACACAGTTATCAGGATACTGAAATTTAGATTTTATTTGGAAAAGCTAACTTAAAAACCAGAAAAGCAATACTTGAGAGGTGATGCTATCCTATGACTGCAGACAGTCTGTGATGGCCAAAGACCAAGAAGCTGCTGTGTGGCCAGTGATCAGCCAGATCACACAGCATCTCCCTGCTTCCTGATTTAATCCGAGGGAGTTCCAGCTCTTGTGAACATCTCTGGTGCCCTCATGGTGGTGGTGGGGGAGGTTATCTGGTTGGCAATGACTTTCATGGTGGCTACTCAGGAAACTCAGGTATACCACCTATTTTTGGGGTTATGGAGTACATTTTCAGGGCTTGAATTTAGTTATGCCTCATTACAATTCTCCTTTCAGCCTGTCTGGAGTTGCGTTAGGGAGAGAAAGCAAACAGAGCCTTCCCATCTTATTTTGGCTCTGTTTTTCTTTCCCGCAGAGCAGAATAGATGGTGGTAAAAGCTTGCTGCAACACAAAAGTAATATCTAGCCAGCTAATGCTGAGCTACAGAACAGTTGGGAAAGAGCTTGGGACATTTCCAACTCAGTTCTCCAAAGACTTTCTGCCCCCTGCTTTAGAGACATGTGGGAAGAGTGGGCAGTACCATCTGCTTTTGATGGAGGCTGACTTGAGGCTGTGCTAGGATATTCACAAGTACAGATATGCTGTGAATAAATGCCTTGTGGTTTAATCGCCGAGCGAGGCACTTTGACTGCACGGCGGGGAGGAGCATGATTTCAGCTCAGCACCCTCCCAAAACATGAAAAATGAAGGTCCAGAAAATCTGCCAGACAAGTGGTGCCAAAAAACCAAATCTTCTCAAAGAGAATTGAGGTTATCGGTCGAGAGAGACGCTGAGATGTGCATGCAGCTCTTTTCCTGCAGGGGAGCTGGGATTTTGGAAGGCAGCCCCTCCCTGCTGGCAGCCAGAGCAGGGGTTCACCCGGAGAGCGGGCGTTTGCCAAAACGAGCAAAGGCAACTCATGACAAAACTGGGAACAAACCTCTGCAGTCTGAGGAGGAAACCTGTGTCTTAGCCATTAGGTCATGCTGTTTCTTATACAAAGCAGCTTAACTTTTTCCATTTAGTGAGCAGAAAATGTTAGAAGTCACCTACAACATTAGAATTTTGTAAATTTTTTTCCAGCCCTTTTTAACCCATGGCAATATGAGACCCTGAGAGGACAAAACTATGAAAACCCAAATTACTGGTCCAGAACTTTCAACACTGGCCTTTTAAAGCTCATCATTAGAGCAGGCTTTGCACTGTTCATTGAATAATATATTTTCATTATGGCCACAGCTAGTTCCTCATGTGCCTGGCACTGATGTCCTGCAAGGGTAACTGCTAGTAACGTAGCTATGCAGATACAGGACAAGAAAGTTAATAAACCACAGAAATCTCCCACTGAAAGCAAACCTAGCCACTGCTCCCCAAAAGCTCTCTGAGCCAGGACTCCTGCAGATCCAATCCATGAGCAGTAACCAAGTGAAGAGTGTGCAGCTTACCTTATTACTCTCACGAGATCATGGAAGGCCTTGTCAACGTTCAGAGGTGGGTCCTTGGCACTAGTTTCTATATAGGGAATCTGGAGGAGAGGAGAGTATCATGAAAGAGATTAGTGACAGCCTACACCTTCGTAGCAAACCAGTTTCAAAATGAAAGGCCTAAAGGCTGAAGAAATTGGGTCCCTAAGAGACCAGGGAAATGCAGGTAAACAGAATGTTGCCATGACACCACTATCAACACCTTCACGCTTGCAGCAAGGTCAGGGAGCGCTTACAAAAGGTCTGGAATAAGCACCAGGCAAACCAGCTGCTATCGGAGCTCTGGGTTTGGGGAACAATAATCAGAGACTCCACGTCGTCAGATGTTCTCTCCCCCTTAGCTGTGCTCGCAGACATGAAAACAGCCGAAGGTTGTTGAAAGACCAGCACTTGCCAAAAATTCTTGCTTGCCACATTTTATTAGGACTACTGCATGAATATTTCATGACTACAATTCCCCTCCAGTGTAAAATGATCTTCCCCTTCAAAGTCTGACAGCCAGATGGGGCCTCCTGGAGTGCTTGTCCAGCACACTGGCAGATTTATAAAACTGCCTCTGATAAGGTATTTTCGTGCCTGGTCTTTTCCAAAGTGTGCATGTACAGATGGATGCAACATGCTCTGCTGCACTTTAGGTGTCCTGGCTCCTACAGAAAACAACTTCCTTGGGGAGGGGAAGGAGTGAACCTGCCCTGCCAAACTGCCACCGTGGCTTGCTCAGGAACAACACACAGCTTGCACAGTTTAGGCACAGCAAGCTGCCAAGAGGTCTCAGGCTTGTTTGCCTTTAACCTTCCCATTCTGTTTCTCCTAAGGGAGTTGTCGTCTCCCTCTGGGTATTCAGGGCTGCTGGCATTTAGAGGTGATTAGTGGAGCAGCATGTGATCTACACCCATCTAAGACCAATTTCTCAGGCTAAACTAACAGCATGAATAATGCAGAGCTAAGATAGTGGGCCAGATTTATACAGCCTTAACAACCCTGTAACTTCATTATCTTTAACAAGCTCACTTCCTACAGACACCTGGGTATACCTCCTCATGCCTGACTCTGCCTTTTCACTCCAGGAGAGTGAACTTTCTTCCCTCATTCTGAACATTTCATGTCCCTCACTGTTTGCAGACACCTTGTACATATGGCTTTGTGACAGCCAGAGCTTTGCTACAGCCTGGTGCACAGCCAGAGCTTCTGGTTTCAGCAATGAACTGGCCCTACTGAAAGGAAACTGCATAGCTGCTACTTTGTAGTAGTCAAAAATGCAATTGAAAATGTTTAATTGTAAGCTTTAATTCAGCTCCAAATGAGCACGGATTTCAATTCTGAATGTCTGTAATAGGACTTACAATAACCCATTAAATAATCCCACAAACTTACGTTATGTTTTGTTGCCATTTCTCTTCCCTGTTCTCTTGTAATTTTCCGTAAATGCATTAGATCAACCTTGTTTGCCACCAAAATCATTGGAAAGGACTCTCTGGAAAAAAATCAAACCCACCACCCAATTATTATCAGGCTACAATTAAAAATGCTGAGCATGTTTCACTTTCTAATGCTGACATCTAACGTTTTCAGCTACAAACATATCACATATAGGTACAGAAACAAAGTAAAAACCCCACACTGTGCTATACATATCTTCATATTGTAAAATATTACTTGACAAGTTGCATGCATGAACACATTCATTGTTATTTCTAGGGACTTCAGGAACTTACTGTCACTGTTTTTGCAATGCCTGATAATAGCTAAGCCTGAAGATCCAACTAGGTGAACAAAGATCTACAGAATTAGCCAGGAAATTAACTGAGACATAGAAACAGATCTGGGACAGGAGACTGGGACTCTTTTGTAACACTTAAGGCATCTCAGTAACTGCGTATCTTGGCAGCTGCTCATCATTGCAAGATATTGAGAGATGATGGAAGAACTGGAGTCCTGGTCATCCACTGTGGGGGAAGAAAAGATGGACTCTGGAAGGTGGTGCTTAGAGGAGCATCAAATGGGGAAGAAAATGAGCCTGAAGGAGGCTAGAGGGAACCAAGGAGAATTGCTAAGCTTCCAAAGCTATTACCTACCATCTCCTGTTTCCAGAAAAAAATACCAAAACCATCTACCTCTCTAATAATACTCAGTATTTCTCTAACTTCACCAGGCATGTAAGTGACTGTCTGCAGCCACCACCTGAGAAGAGATCCATCTATCCACAGCATGTCCTGTGCAAGGCTCCCCCCCTGCAGAAATCTCCATAGCTTCAGTGATAAACAGAACAAAGGTAGCTCGTGCCATGGGAGGTGCTGGCAGTGCCTCTTTCTCCTCCAGCTTCATGACACAGAGCAATGAACTGCTGCAGGGCCTTTTAGCCACTGCTGGGAGGGAGGAGGTCCCTTCTGATCACTGACAGTTACTGCAGTATTGTTTTATATTTAACTTTAAACCCTCTTAAATTATCCTGGTGTTCTCTGCTGCAACAGAGCTGATTCTTTTGGGGTAAGGAGCAGCTGGCTACACTCATTTTTGCATAAAACACTTCCCCGAGTAACTCTGGATTTTCAAACAGCATTTCTTGGTCATTTTTCATCGAGATGATAAGGGCTCCATCTTCCTCTGGCATGTTGCCCCATTGCTCTGGCTGGAAAAATACAGTACTGCATTCTGCATTTTAAATGAGTCTTAGAATTATTCATTCTGATAATGTGACTGTGATTTAATGTTAATACCTGAGCACTGACAAATTTTTACTCTGATCATTCTGGAGCAAAATGCTTGCTTGTCTGGATTATTTGATTCCTTTTCGGCTTGCAGCACATTGATTAGAAAGGGATTACGTATGGACAGTATCTCATTTTTCTTGTTTACATCAGGCATGAAACTCTACGGGGACTTTGTTCCCTATTGTGAGCTGTACAATTGCTAGTTGGACAAAGCTGCTATAGTCGGAAATTTTACTATAATGAAAGTTGTGGAAAGAAATGGGAGGCAGGCTTTGAACAGCTCTGCTAACACAGCAGCCTGCAATTCTTTTGGATTTTAAGTTGCCAAAACTGCCTGCTAGCTTGAAAACCAGGGTGTCTCTCTGCTCCCGGGTTTGGCAGGACAGTTTTTTAACTCACGCTGCTCCCACTGCTGCAATTTTCTGACCAAGCTCAGGTTTTGGATGAAGCATTAATAAGCTCCTCACGCTCTGCGCTTCAGCGGCGCTGAGCAGGGAAACACAAACAACCTCACCAGCCTGTTTCACTTCCTGCCTCTCACACACGGCTGCGGCGTTTGCACGGCCTGTGGAGGGTAAAAGTTTCAGTGCAGAGCAGAGCAAAACAATGAATACCACATCTTATTTTCACAACATTAATTTAGATAAAACCAGCATTGGACTGGGGCACGGTACAGGAAATTCTGTCCCATCTTCTTCAGCTTTCAGAAACGGATTTACTTTGCCCCAAGCTAAGCCCCAGCAGTGAAGAAAAGACTGCTGTGATCTGAGGGGCTGACTGAGTGGCTGACAGTTTTCTTCATTTAGATGAAATCAAAGGGTGTTTTTTCCTTTACTTTTCGCTCTCGTGGGCTATGCTTTGGATGCTTTACTGGAAGAGCTGTCAGCTGTGAACCTCACATGATACGAGTCCACCCTTCCTGTGGGGAAGTTATTCAGAGCTGTGAAAGGAAGCCAGCAATGAGGCCCGAACCCTCTGGTGACTTTTCTTGATGACTTCCATAATTAAAAGCCATTATGAACGGAAAAACTAAGTGTTTCAAAGCTGCAGACATATAAGGGCTTAATTCACACCCCACCCAATGAGGATTGATCCATCGCCTCTTGGACCGGGGTGGGAAGAGGGAGTTATCTTTGAGATAAAACGGCAGCTTCCCCTCGCTCTGCCAGGACACATTTACTTGCCACAATTAAACTCAGTGCTACCCTCTCCCATGCACTTGGGAGGGGAGCAGGTGACCTCTCTGGCTTTCTCCCCAGTTACACAGAGATGTTTTATTCTGTGAAAATGGTTGCTGCAGAGCACGATGCATTAACTGCACTACAACCCTTGTAACAAATACAGTTCCTTCCAGCATGAGAAGCATGAGGCTTTTCCCCTTCAAGACACTTGTTCACATCACCAAATTATGCAAGACCTTCTAAGGTTTGTTTGGCATAAGATGAAGCCAGGGAGAAGGAGGATGCTGCCAGGCCACGCAAAACAATTAGGGCTGAATGTTTGCTGACTCCCTGCTGGTGTTCCCAAAGTGTCTGCACTGTGCACAGAGCATCCTCCCTCCCTCTTCAGAGCTGAGCTGGTTACCTTCAGAGGTGTCTGTTCTGCCTTTCTCACACGGCTGTGCCAGACCATTCTGGCAGAACTTTCTCTCTTCCAGACCCATTTTCACACCATCATAACACCACTGAACCTTTCCACACTGATAGCACTACATGCTTATAGAAGAAGTAAAACATATCTTATTCCTCACGTTTAGGTCCACAACCCTCCACACAAGGATTTCTCTCAGGACACCCGGAAGGCAGAAGTTGGGGTGAGATGTGCAAGCACTCCCACAGCAGGATGGGAGCCTGGCAGGTCAGGCAGTGATTCTACAGCACCCACCTGTCCTTGACTCGGAGGATCAGCTGGTGGAACCGGTCCACGTGCTCGAAGCTCGCCTTGTCTGTCACCGAGTAGACTATGAGGAAACCATCTCCGGTCCTCATGTACTGCTCCCGCATTGCACTGAACTCCTCCTGGCCCGCAGTGTCCAGAACTAGGACAGAAGAGAAAGGGGTTTTTAGTTACCACGAGGAACCATAGCTGCTGTCGCCACAATGTGTCCTATGGCCTTTCTGCCTCTGCTGGGCTTGGGGTCCTCTCACAGGCTGTAAGATTTGATGAAATCAAGTTGGACGGACAAAGCGGTTTCTAGTTAAAAAACCAAAAACCACTTCCAGACCCCACTCATTCCCGTGTGCCTAAGTTGGAAGTGGATGCAGGGGAAGATGACTATGTGGATTTAATTTTCCTTTTCCAGTACCGAATGCTGACCACCGAGTCTGGGGAGTTGCTCCTCTGGCAAGATGTGGCTCAAGTTATTTCACAGCCCTCAAACTTTTCCCTCTCCCAGCATAGAAAAACTCAACATTGGAAGATTATTAAAAGCAAGTTTAAATGTCAGGGACAACCTACAAACCGCACAGTGAAGCAGAGCTGGGAGACAAGCTAGAGTAATAGCTACAAGCACTTTCCTCTTCTCAACACCTGGATGTTATTTCTACACAATTATGTGCTCTCAGAGCGAGACGGTGCAGCCCTGGGGAACTCCCCTTAAACACTTAGTCCCAAGGGGTGTGCTAAGGAGCTAACTAAAACAGGTGGAAAAGCTCTAAGTGCCTTGCATATCCCATACAGTGATCATGTTTCTGTGAATAAATCTATGCTCAAATCCGCTAAAACACCTCAGTTGTGACAGCAATCCAGATGCTGTTCCCCACCAGATTAACCTCCTCTAACGGAACCATAACTCACTGGTTCTCCACCACTGTCTTGCAGGGGGTCCCATCAGCTACATCATGTAGAGCAAACTACATCAGCCCCCTGGGTAAACAACCCATACTGATACACATTTCAGTGTTAATTCCTGTACATGGCCAGGATTTTTGTACCAGGAGGGTACAAGAGGAGTTTAGGCTATGCCAGTACAGACACGATGTGAGCTCAAAGTGCATCAGCTCCTCAGAACTAATAGTCCCAATGCATCTTTGCATCCCAGAGGCAAATGTGGGACCTTCAAGGTGACTGGGAACAGCTTCACACTCCAGTAGACTGGACTAGGTGGGATAACTGTTTTGCCTTTGCTGTACAGGCACAGCATAAGCATCTGCTGCACACAGGTAGTGGGGAAAGCCCAGAGCACCAGTGGATAGAGACTGTGGCAGAAGCGTACTGCTGACAGAGCAGCAGGGCTTGATACAGGTTTTTCTAGTCTGAACAGGCACATAGTCCCAGCAAGATGTTCCCTGTAGGGCTAAGTACTCAGGCTTACCCCAGATTTCCAGATGGGGTCACAGTAAAGACCACTTTGCTGAATCAGCACAGGGGCCACAGTCAGACACGCTGTACGTCACATCGCACCCCATGAGCCAGCCCACACCCCCTCACTGCATGTCTGGAGGAAAGGCAGCTATACTGGAAGATCTGGAGACCTAAGGAAGGTGATGGTGAGCCCTTTAAACCCTTCAGCCTCATTTGTTTGCCTGCCTTAACTGGTCTTGAATGTCTGTTTCCACGAGCGTTAAGGTAAAAAGAGCTTTAGGCCCTTGCGGAGACCCTGAGATTTAGGCTTGTTTGCCAAGCTTGCTGAAAAGTCACCTGTGTCTCTTCATAGCCTTTTATCCTGCTTCTCCCCTCAGTCTAGGAAACAAGTGTCTCAGCTCAATGGTATCCAGGCTATTCTTAAGAACTGTACAAAAGAAAGAAAAAAACAAAAGAGAAAAGCAACCCAAAGAGACTGCATGTGCTGGTGAATTTCTATGCCCTGGGCAGAATTGCTACCATGGAATAAGGCCAGGACTGTGAAGCTGGGATGGAAGAGGAAATTAATCCTTCCTACTTGCTCAACCTGTATGGAGAGGCTGGGCTGCCCTCATCTGACTCCTGCACCAGCTAAATGTGATGTCAGGGCAGGGCTGAGAGCTAACAACCACCACACACACACAAACACGCTCCAATACACATACCAAATTTGTGGTGGAGTAGGACAGCTTCTTACCAGAAGCTGGCCCTTCCTGCCCTTCCTCCCCCTGAGACAGGGCAGGTGCCCGAGCACAAGCTGTGGGCAGCACGGTGGAGATGGATGTGCTGTACCCTGCATGATAATTTGCTTAGAGACTTCCCCTTGCTCTGGGGACATTTGCAAACCTCCCATGAAACACAGGAGGAGCATCAACCCATCTCCTGGCTGCATCTTGCTGCCCCTCCAAAGCTCTGCATCCCCTTACAGAGGGGGCAAGCACTGGTAGGGGCCATGGGGATACCCAGTGGACTGCACAGGGCTCTGCTCAGTTGCTCCTACATCACCTGGATCTTGGCCACGGCATCACACTAAACACAGGCAGAGCTGCTGCGTCAGCAGCTGCTATTTAAAGGGAATTCACTTGCAGCTTTGGTAGAAAGGTGAGCAAGTCCAGGCAGCATTTAAAATGGCAACTTGAAAGTGCAAGAAAAGACACACGGCAGCAAAGGTTAAGGTTAATCTCAGATAGGTTATTCCTGCAAAGTTAAGCATCATGAGAAGATTCTTGTTTTAACTTTAAATGTGCTCCTCATAAAGACAACTCCCCAATAAACAGAGGAGAGTGCAATCTGGATCCTTTGTAGGCAGAACAGGACCACAACAGCACTGAAAAAGGGCCCGATGTAAGTGGCTTTGCTTGTGGTGTAATCTGCTGGCATAAAGGCTTCAAGGAGACTCCTACCTATAGAAATTGGAAAGTAGCAAGGAAAAAACTTGGAAAGGTAGAACTAGGAAGGTGACTGGCTTCCCTAAGAGGTGAGGAGGTTTAGCATGTTAGCCAGCATTCACCTTCATTTAAACTTCCCTTTTCTGCAGACAGGATGCCAGAAGACACAGAAACAACCATGACTAGAGAACTGTGAGATGGTACACTTGAAACCAGCAGTTGCCTCACTAGCAATATAGAAACAAGGCTGGAGCAAAACACAGTAGATTTCTCCTGCCTCATTCTTCCAAGAACTGAAATCATATTTGTAGGCTGCACAGCACATGGTCAGAGACTTGCAACAGAAAACCTGGTAGAGTTCCTACAAACTTGACCAAAGAAGAAGCAAGGAGGAGAATTAATGAAAGCACTTGGGTAAAGATGAAGGAGAGAGAAGCCAAGGGCTATGTCTGCTGTAGGAACAGACATCCAAAGAGGGAAAAGCCATTTACAGCTATCATGAAACCAGCAGGAGACTAAACTAAGAGCAATTAGGTTGTGAGAGCCCAGCAGGGAGGTCTCCTGTGTTGCAGGAAAGAGGTTGCTTAGCAAAGAGATGGCCTTTTCCACTTTCCAGTGGATGTGACCCCAACTGCTGTGATGAACTCCTTACTAATTAATTCCTGTCCCCTTAGAGCTCTCTACACACCATTTTCCTGTGAATCTTGATGGTTATACAAGAGTGCAGCTGCCTAGAGAGCCCTCCTGAACAGGCACAGGAGCCCAGGAATACACACATATTTGTGGTCCAAAATAGAAGCTCTTGGTGCTCCAAGGTATATTACGTAGCAATGTCTCTGCAACCGACAGTGCTCCGAGTGCCCATCCAGAGACAAAGGAATGTAAATCTAAACCAAGGGCAGAGACATACTATGAACTCACGGCATTGCTTTTTCTGGAGCCTAGGCTGGATTCAGTTCAGATTCAAACACAGCCTTCCCAGCCTTCAGGGAGCTCAGATCTGGTTGTGCAAGTGAGTTCCTCACTCTTTTCATACCTAGGCAAAATTTCCTCCTACATCTCTATTGTTACATTGCTAGGCAGCTGGGTGTGTAGGTCACCTCAAGAGGGTTTCTCCACTGTCCATGGCATCTAAGGGGACAAAGATGCAGAGACAGGCAGGTTAACCCATTTTCTGTCCTTCAGCCTTTGGGTTTCACTGCTCTGCAGCTTTGTACCTAAGCTCAAGGGAAAACTTGACTTGAATTGGCAAGTCAAACTAAGGAGTCTCAGGCTGAAGAAAGCCACCTCCATAGTCTCTGTCTTCCTTCCATCAGCAGCAAGGTGGGAGAGGGCACCCCCATCAGCCAATGGCTTCAGCTGAGGTGTTGGTATTCTGGGCACTGTGCAGAGTACTGGGATCACTCAGCTCATGTTCTGTATTCCGACACCCCCAGTCACCCTGAAGAGGTACGAGGGGCCCCTGCTGTGCGCAAGGCAAGGCAGATTCTTCACTTGGCCACTCTGATGCTTCTGCTCCTTCTCAGATACAGCCACACTGCCTCTGGCATGACAGCTTTCCTCAGCAGAAAACCCATGATGGGGAAACACTCAGACTCAGGCTTTTATGAGACATTCTTCTGTGCCCTAACTAAATACACAGATGTTATAACATGGAAAACCCAAGTACTTGAGTTCTTGCCCTTTCTTTAAGGAAAAAGAAGAGAGGAGCCTTCAGAAGAAAGGCTTCCACATCAATAAACAGAATAAAGATGCAAGTCCTTAAAGGAGCTCTTTCTCTAACAAAGGGCAAGTATTCAAAGCCTTGTGTTTTCCATGTTGCAACATCAAAATTTTCCTGGCAGGAAAAATTCCCCACAACCCAAGACAAAAACCCCTCTTTCAAGGTTGCAAAATACTAGCAATTAATAGAGAGGAAATACCATACACACAAATAAAAGAATGAAAGTATAAATTTAATTTGAATTTTAAGGCTCTCAATGATGCTACCAAAAGTTTAAATGAAAACAAAAGAGAGTGAGCCACAAACCAACCCTTCTGCCTGAAAGCCTGAAGTGACCTTTGATCTCCCTCTGGCCTCCTGGCTGACTTTTTCTCAAGTTTCCTGAGGAGAAAAGCAGACAGCCTGCCCAGGGATGATTAGCAGCACAACCCCTTGACAAAAAGGGATGCACAGGATACACAGGTGGGAAAGGCAGAGAGAGAGTCTGGGGGAAGGAACAGAGCTTGGTTCTGACTACACAGGGGTGCAGACCAGGGCTGTGCAGGTCTAGCCCACCACAAGGGCACCCAGAGATTGAGAGGGTGTCTCAGGAAGAAGAGATATAAAAGGGAAGACTTCTTACTCAGGAGTAAGAAGACAACTTCTAGGCAGTGAGAGTTTCATCTAAATCATACCAGAGAAAAGAAAGGGAAGGAGAGGGAGACCACAGCCGTCTTTCACCCAAGACACAGGCACAGTTCCTTGCTTTGCTGGTACCAATTGGCACAGCCCTACTGACAGCCAAGAGTTCAGCCCAATTTACCAACATGCCCAAGCCATGTACTTGTGGTCATCTCTTCATCTCCCTCTGTGTGTTTTAAGAGCCAAAAGGAACTTTGAACCACTGGGTACTTTTTGCCATACTAAGGTATTCCACTTTTGGCTTCACTCCCAGATTAACAATTCCTGACTGGCATTTTGCAGCCGCACTAAAAGGAATCCTTTGCTACTTGCTAAGTTAGCCTGCACACAGAAAGGAGCGTACAAAATTAATCACAGCAACTCAACTGGAGCAAAAGCTAAGCATTGCAGATTAGCCCTGGCCCCCACTTAATTCTGACCCGATGTGTCTGTACACACCTGCGTGTGGATGCATTTCACCAAGCACATCACTGTGCTGTCATCAGTGGGACCGGCAGGGAATAAATAACGATAACATATGCTGAGAAAATTGGAGGCTGATCTTAAAGCCTCATCAGAGTGGCAGCAAGCAAAAAATGGGCAAGTCACCAATTGCCTGTTCATCTCTGATTCAGGTTAAGTGCCCTCTTCCACACTACAGCACTTGTTCTCCAAACACTGCATTGACAGTCTTCTAAAGCTGGGATAAGGTCAATAAAGTGTTTTCATGTGCTGGACTTGACCACAACACGCACAGGTCCTACAATCATCTGGGAGTCACGGAACTATCACAGATTCTTCTTTGGTGAGAAAAATAGGTACAGAGACACTCCCAAGCCAGAAAGCAAACATGTAAAATAGGAGTTTGAATGTAGGTTTGTCTCCAAGATCTGAAATCTGAAATAAAAGCCTATTTTGTTTCAGCCTACTTTCAGTGAGAGATTTCAGCAAAGGAAAAAAATGCAAGTCAAACATTTCATCACATTGCTAGTTAGTGCTATTGAATAAATGTGGGTGGAGGTCTTCATGGAGGGAAGCCAAATGCTTTATGCAAGCTGGCTAGCAGAAGGGTTTTTTTACAACATAATGCTGGTGCAGTTACAAAATGCTTGAGATGCTTTGTACAGAACTGCTCAGGCAACAGCCTGGAAAACGGTGGGCTGTTTTGTTTTTTGGTTGTGTTGGTTTTTTGTTTGTTTGTTTGTTTGTTTTTAAGTTCTTGGATGTCAATGTATTTGGCTTTTTTTTAAATAATAACTGTTTCATTTGAAAACTTAGAAACTTATGGATCCCCTCATGTTATATCTCACTTGGTAGTCTCATGTTCTAAAAGTAGTTCCTATTTTGGTGGGGAGACAGCTGCTTCTCCCAACCAAGCACTGCATGAAACACCAGCTTGTAAAGGATTTGGTCATAAAGGACAACTGGAAAGTCTAGAAATTACCATGATGCATCTTTACCCTTCCTATCATGTTTGTCCCTAATTTTATACCATAAGTGATTCATGTAACCACAACAAGAGCAGCTGTCCCAGTAGATGGTGACCTCTGAGAATAGCCTAGATCCAAAGCTTATGACAGAGAGCTGTGGCAGAACACATGTGTGATAGTCAGTCTTTGTTCCCCGTCTCTACTGGGCACAGAGTAAAGGCTCACATGCTTTTTTTCCAAGCAAGAATATTGCCTTCTTCCCAATTTCTGATTGTTCAAAAACTCAAGTGGTAGGAAAGAGAAGGAGAAGCTGCAGTTTCACTTCTCTGGCTACGAGGCATCTGTGGGCACACGAACTCTGCTGAGAGTCAGGGATTCCCAGCATGCCATTCAAGGCCATGGCTGAATTTAGTCCAGCCTGAGCACAGCCACTGAACTCCATCTGAGCAAAAGAAAGGCTTTTTCATTAAAACAAAGGGTGAGTTTCTGCTGGTTGAAAAACAATTTCTTTCTCCACTCCCACCCAGGTCAGATTTGTGTTTTGGGTTGTTTTTTTTTGTTTAAACAAAAATTCCAAGTATTCAATGAAAGATGCCTTTTCTACTTTTAAATAATTTACAAAGCCCAGGCTGTTTCAGCCAATGCCAATGTGTACAGCAGCTGGTGCTGTTATATCAGAACATGGGGCATACCAGCAGAGGTAAAGGTTGCTCATTTTAGAGGGCTGGATTCTGGTCTAAAAACAATGGATTTAATTTACAGCAGCATTGGATTTTTCTTTTATACAGCACTGGCCTTTTAAAAATAAAGGTGCATGATGTGATAGTTAACTGGGAGCAGGTATCTCTGATGCAGAGGACAATGAGAGGCACATTTCAGCACCAATTTCACAAATACTCCCTCATATCAACTATTAATACATTCAAATGAACAAGTGTTGGCACGATCACGTTGTTTGGTTGTTTGTTGGTTTTCTTTTTTAATACTGAGCAAAGGCTTGTAAGGACTTTAAAGCCATTTGTACTCATATCTGATAAATCCTTAAGAGTGCAACTAAGATCTCAAGTTTCCAGACCAAGCTAACAGTCTTCACAGCAAATCCCACCAGCATCCACATTCTGCCACTCATGACAATCTCCCAGCTTTCTGTTCCCACGCAGCATCGACACACACACAGACACCCAAGATCTTGAGCACCTTCTTGACAAGAGGGTGGAGGTAGGAACTTGCACAAGTGAGGCTAAATTTAGTTCAGTTATGTTAGTGGCCACATGCACTTTGGTAATTAAGGCACAAAATATTTGCTTGCTTTTATGTATTACCTAATTATTGTATAAAGTAAAACAAAACTTACAACATTTAACAGAGAAATTCCCCTTATAGCTGTGGTTAGTCTGCCTCATGCAGCACAAACAAGCAAGTTGTAGCTTTAGGTAACACAGGGCTTGCTCCTCACCTGCTAATCAAGAAACTTTGGTTTTGTTGTTTTTTTTTTAAAGGATTTGTCAGGTTTCTTTGTTCCAGTTTGTTTGTTATTTTGTGTTTCATTGTTGCTTGTTTTGTTAGAAAAACAAACAAAAAGGTAGTTTTTCTTCAAAGAACTGAAAACTCTTGGTTACAACAGATCTCCAGGCTGGTACTCTACCAGTATTTAAATGAAACAGGTAATTAGATATGAAAACACAACACCTGAATGATTAGAGTTAAGAGCTGTAACAATTCTTCACTGTCAGTGGACAACAGTTTTGATTAAATGTTCTTTCTGGTTATAACCCTCACTCAGTTACCCCACTCACTGTTATTTCCCAGGGGATGAGCTCAACCACAATGAAGTATCATTAGCAGTAGCCACCTGGCAGTGCTATAATTCACTCTTTGTAGAAGCCTGCTCTAAATATCAATGATGATCTGTAGGTATTTACAGTCCCGCAAGAAACACTTCTGTGCAGAACTGGAAACAACACAACTGGAAGCAGAAGCTTTGCTGGAGACCAGCTGCAGACCATGCTCCACAGCTCACAGGCCAGCCTGTGCTCAAATTCCTGCCAGCCCACAGCAGAGCAAGAGGGACACAAGGACACAACATGCTGTGGGGGGCCTATCTGCACTTATGCTCAGCTAGAAGGGAAAGGGGAAATCACACGAGTAGCTTGCTTACCATCAAGAATTGCCCACTGCCCATCTATTTCTGTGTGCTTCAGGTAGGAGTCTTCAATAGTTGGGTCGTAGTCTGGCACGAAAATCTTCTGGAAAAACTGAATGGTGAGAGCACTCTTCCCCACACCACCATCTCCAACCACCACCAGCTTGTACGTGGGGAGGTTTTCGCTGGGAACGGCACTTGTAGCCATGCTTCCAGTGTGCTAAACCTGCTGGAGAAAGAGATCATCTCCGATCACTCGTCAGCAATGAAAACAGAGCAATGTGCATGAGGCAGCTTTTACCTGCTGCCTAAGAAGTGAGAATGAAGGCAGCCTTTACATCCAAAACTGTTCTAGACAGGAGCTGCTGCACTGACCCTTCCCAACAGCTCTCACCCAACTCAAACCCAGCACTCAGAAGTGCAGACAACTCCACCACTGTGGCTTGTTTACTCCTGACTTGTCTACAAGGATTGCTAATTGCCACCAAATGCACAGGAAAAACTTATGGCTGAAAACTTATTGAACACCTTTCTTGTAGGGGCTGGATCCACATGACCATGACAAAAATCACCCTGGCTGAGTGCAGCTGTCATTGTCAAGTTCCAGACAGCTTCCCACTGCCAGTGACCAAATCTCATTGGCAAGACAGAGCTGTGCTCTTTCTCACTGCTTAACCCAAGGTACAGGAAACATTAGATGATGTGTTACATCCTGGGGCCAGATCTGCAGGCAGAACTGGTGGTGATGGATGAAACCAGAGTTAAAGGTTGACTCCACCAGCAGACAAAAATGCACTTAGCTGCTTTCTTCCCCCTCATTTTCAAGTTTGAGAAATAAAAATGAGAAGGCAGAAGGCTAGGAAAGATAGGTGGTTTTTTTTGTTGTGGTGGTTGGTTTCTTCTTTTTTTTTTTTTTTTTTAAGAAAACCCTCCACCCTGCCATGGCAGGAAAGCTGGTGTCTGTGGCTGTGAATCAGGCAGGAGAGCAGCCTCCCTGTACCATGGTCACACTGCTCCTCTCACCTCAGAACTGAGTCTTAAAAGAAAGAGGAAAAAAATTCGCTGGCTGCAACTGGGCAATGGCACACGTGTGAGGAGAAAAGAGGCAGCCATTGCTGAACAGCCCCTTTCAACACTCAGCAGCAGTGACTGCTCACTTAAGTAGAAGCCAGGTGGGAGGTTCTGTAACACATGCTGTGGAGGGCAGTGCCCTCCATCCACCCGTGGGAAGCAGTAATCACTCAAATCACAAAGGGAATGGGTGGCCATCTCCCAGATCTGAATGACCACTGCATTTTCTGGGAGGTCTTTCACACAATTAAAAAGAAAATAAAAATAATTTAAAAATCCATTGTAATGATAAGGCTCAAGAGAAGGCAGCTGATTTCCTTGGAACTGGTTTTCCAAAAAAGCTGTTCAGTGCAGGAGCAGCTGTGGTGACAATTTCTGCAGGCACCTGCTCCCATCCATTCTGATTTTGCTGGTACACTTTGGGCTGCAGGTGCTGGCTGGGGTCAGCACTGAGAGGGGACAAGGACAGCTCAGAGGGAACCTCCACCCCACACAAGCTTTTGGAGGCCTTCCCAATAACTCTAGGGTTTTCTTTTTCGTTAGGAAGACAATTTTAACATTTCCATTCTCAGAAACCACAAAGCAAGGCTAGTGTGCTCGGTGCCACAGGTGTGCCAGGTGTTGTACAGAAGCTGAGACTGCCACACACACAGTGCAAGTTGAATGCTGGCTAATGTGATTTTTTTGCCTATAGTATAAACTGGACCCCCATTCTTCCCAAAACTCTTTCATTTTCTATCTTTTTCAAACAAAACACTTTGACTCTTTATTTCTGAAGAAGGCCTCAAAGCCAACTTGGACTACTTTTCAAACAGACAAGAACATAATCCCATAACCCAAGTTTAGTTTCTGGTTTCTCTAGTCCCTTTCTACAAAATCATTATTTCAGTTTCATCCAGAAGTTTGAACCAGAAAAGGTACTTTTGAGATGGCAAGCTTGGGAGTCCCATGTTCCTTCTGTACACTGGAAAGCCCATACCGTGAGAGAGGGCTTAGTCTCTCCTCTAAAAAGAAAAGCCCATAAGGAGGAAACAAAGAATGAGATTGCTGAGTTTGGGAACTGCAAAGGCCTCTTGTCCAAGCTGAGATAAGCCAACATTTTCAGAGCAAGAAGAAGCATGATCAAGTCTGCTTGTTTCTAAACTACCTTTGGAGCAACAGTTGCTGGATGGGGAGAAGGAGGCCAAGCACCAGCTGAGGTTTCAAACAGTCTTACTGTAGTTCCTCATCACAATCCCAAAGTTTCTTACTCCTGTCTTTGAGCAAGAAACTTTCTTATATTTACAAGGCCACACATCAATACACAGCAGGCTTGGCTGCAGAAAAACCTATGAATTTCAATTAAATGTTTTATTTTTGTTGGAGGACCAACTTTAATTTCTGCATAATCCTGCTTGAGTCAAATGATTCTCACAGGCTCTCTGGGACACAGATCCTGGTTAAAACTCTGTCGTGACCCCCCCCCCCAACACATTTGATGACAATTTTTCGCTTTGCCCATGGCCAAGGTTTCACTGCATCCTTCTCTGCCCAGCTCTGCCCAGGCAGTATGAAAGACTGATTGTTACTGACATGGTGGGGGCAGTCTGGGGATGTGAAAAACATACTCCATTTGTGCACAGTTTTTGACCTCATCCCAAAACCACAAGCTGTTGCTCGGCAGACAAGCATTACATTTTCACTGACATTTTGTACCAGCCCCTTCAACTCACTCCTAAGAAGCCTTTAAGATTATCTTGCATGAAATGCTCCCCAAAGTCCTAGGATAATGTTTAGCCCATTGTACAAACTGTGTCTCTGCCCCACACACTTATAAGCTGAATCGGCGCATTTGCTTCCTGGCGTTTCCAGAAGTTTGGTCATAGTCTGTGTCTAAGCTACCAGACTGCAGTATTACGCAGCCAGGGAAGGACAGCAAGAACTGAACTGGGGAAAAAAAAAAAAAAAAAAAGTCAAGAAGTGCAGTCTGATTTGTAGAGCACAACCCCCTGTATGTTAGCATGAACAGAGAAAAACTTCCATTGAGTGTCAAAAGGCAGCAAGTCTAGATGTTTTTGCAGGATTGTTTCTACTGCTCATGGAAACCCTCCTCCTTCTACTGAGATAGCAAGTCCCATGCTCCCATCATGCAGGTACACAACCAAAAACCCTCTGAAAGCCAACTACTTCAGTCCCTCTATCCCTCCACCTGCCCTGATAAGCAAAGCAGGAAGACAACTCATGCCTTGACAAGATTATCATCTTAACCAGCCAATGAATCAAACCTTTAAAACAACATGTATCACCTCCTGGAAAACAATGAGCACTCCCAAAGGTGCACAGAGCTTCTGTGCCAGCTGGTTATGTCGCTACAGGCAACTGCACAAGACTTGGGCTGATTTTCATGTGTTTTTGGCAAGAGTACTGACACAGTCCTCCTCAGATGGGAGCAAGAATAAGCGTGTTTGCTGTAGATCTGACTGGGAAAAATGAAACACAAATGTTTTTATCTATTGTCTGAATACAAAGCAGCATGTGGTAATACGCTAATAAGCTCTGATGATAATCATCTTACAATTTATATAGATGTTTATTTTGAAGGAGCCAAGAGAAGGATCCATACCCTACGCTGACAAATGCCATCAGGGCTCTGGGTAAGTCACTAGAAGGAGGCTGATTTATATCACCATCTTCATTTGCACTGGCAAGATTGGTGTCCTGACAGCACAAGCCAGTAATGCTGAGACAGTCAGAAATGTGGCTACTTCTAGGGTAGATAGCAAGCAAAGAAGAGAAACACTGATCCAAGAGTATCACTGAGGATGAGCCTCCTCAGCAAAAATGATATTTTTATGGACACAGAATAACCCCATTTACCTGTCTGGACCCAGGGATGGAGTGGAAGGGCTGAGCTATCCCCTTGGAGCAGCCAAGTAACATAAAACACCCAACTTCAGCTTAGTTTGTGACTGGATGATCAAGTCCAAACAGCTAGCCACGAAATATATGCAGTATACCTAATCCCCATCCTCATTGCAAAACTTGCCCTGAGTGCAAGTGGGTCAGATCTCACCTTTTGTAAATCGTTGCAATTTCTGTTCATCTGAGCAGAGTTGTGGCCACATATGACAATAATAAAATGGACCCCAGATAGTTGATATTCTGTGTGTTGGTACCCCTCTCCCTGGTTCCAGCTGTGCTGTCCTGGAGGAAGAGCTCCCAGGACAAAGCCATTACAGAAGGTCAACAAGCTCAGAACCAAGCCCTGGATTTGCAGGGGAGGTTAGTGCAATTAAAGACACCGGTTCCTTGACTGAGAAGCCCAGCACGACAGTGATTTATGGTCTCCATGGCAACATGCAACATAAATTGCTTAATTCTGTTATGAAACCTCCAGAAAAAGCTACAGCAGGGTCTGTGTGGGAACTACCAGCTCCCTCCTCCTCTGCTGCAGCTCTCCAAAGCAGACAACTTCAGGGAGCCCACATCCACTTCAGCAGTATGCTGAGGTTTAGCATATACTAACATGTAGGTATGTATGCTGACCAGTTCCATCAGCCCATGGCCAAGGGAATTTTCCTATCATCGGCTTGCTTTGGTTCATGGCTCTTCACACATGCCCTGCCAGAGCTCTGCATACCTGAGGACGCCAACCTCACCTGAGGCTGAGGAAGACTATCAGCCACCTATGGTTGCAATTAATAACTCTTCCTCCAGCCACAGCTCACTCGATTACACCCTTTTACCCAGCCACTTTGTAAGCACAGCAGCTCCATGCAATGCCTCCAGGGCTGAAACTCTACATGATCTGAACACTTCCCTCTCTGTTTCTCTTGCAGACTGCCGGCTACAGCCACACAACCACCATGACACACCCAGAGACGCTCGCCAGGTACCAAAATAGTTCAGCCCAATGCGTTGTAGGCAATCCCTTGGGCTGGGAGCTACTGAGAATCCTTGAAACACAGGACATGCTCTTTTAGAAGGCAGCTGCCTCCCTTGAGTCATGCTGATCAGGACTGAATGAACTTCAGGAATTTCTCCCTCAAGTAGGCATTGACTGCGTCCCAAGCCTTCAAGGGCCAAAGGACTCGTAGGTGTATGAACAACCACTGCCAATTATTATTAAATAAAGATTATTAACTCTTAGCCAGGTTTCCTCCAGTCTGTCAGATTTCC